AAATTATTTTATTAAATAATTACCTATTTTATTTTAATAGGTAACCTGTTTTAGTTATTTTAATAATGATTTGAAATATCTTGATTGAATTTTAACTAAATAATTACCTATTTAATTTAAATGGTAATTTATTTTATTATTCAGTAAATTATTTTATCTATAAATAATTTGAAATATCTTGATTGAATTTCAATTGAACAATTACATATTTAATTTTAATTGGTAATTTATTTAATAATTTTTAGAATTTTTAGAATTTTATAGAGTTTTTTTTTTTAAGATAAAAATTCTTTTTATATCAATTAATAAATATTTTTTATATTAATAAATAGATACTGAAACATTTCACACATTTAATAATAATATTGATATAGATATATAAAATAGATTTATTAGGTAATTTGTAATTTGAATTTCATTAGGTAATTTGAAAGTGGTGATTGATTTTATTAATTAATTTTTAGAATTTTATAGAAACTCTTTTTATAAATGTACACAACTTTCTTGGCCTTTTGATTAGGATCAAGCGTAGTACTAAACTTTTGGGCTAAAAATTATTACTTAATAAAATTTAAATAAAATATTTATTATATATATTTATTTAGTTTTATAGTTTTATAAAAGGCTTCCATGTAATTCTTTATAAATCAAAACCGATGTGGGACAATAGAATAAAATTCAACTTGATCTTAGCCAAAAGGCCGAGAAAGGTGTGATTAATATTTCTTTAATGTTCCGTTCGTTAGGAAGGAAGTAAATTGGATGGAAGGGAGAGAAAAAGGGACGGATGAGACATCCCTAGGGAAGAGATTATGGACTTCCCTCGTTTTGTTCGGTTGGATGGAAGAGAAGAGAAGAACCTACCAAATTTCTTTGTTCCTTGCAAGAGAAGGGAATGGAGAATTTAAAATTATTTTTATCATTATACCCTTCATTATTATTTTTTTCTTCCAGTAAATAGCCATCATCTTTACTACTCATTTGAACAGTGCCATTAATTTCACTCTAATTTATTGTTTGCTTTAATTATATATATATATATATATATATATATATATACATATAATCATATTTCATCATGAATAATAATAATATAAAAAAATGTATCCCACTATTTACATACTTCGTTGATAAATATTATCCTAGTAGAGTCATGTCAAACTAAAATTCTTATTTTCAGCCATTTGCGTTGAACACTCAAAATTATTTGCACCACTAGTTGTAGTCTTACAATATATGACAACACTAGTGAAGTAAGTATTGTTTTTAGAACTAGTTGTGAACATGGAGTTTTTTTTTTTTTTTTTTGGGTTCTAAATATGTTCTAAAAAAATGCTTTATGGCATTGTATGGTTTTTTTAATATAAATAGTACATTTTTTTTTTTTTAAATTCTCTTTTTTACTAATAAGGAAATTATATAACAAACAATCCACACACACACACACATATATATATAAAAGATCCAGATTTCGACCAAATAAGGATTACAGAGGTCAGGTTAAAAGGCAAGATAAAAGAGAAGGTGTATATATATATATATAACACATGAATCATACATTGATAGGTGGTTTTTTTTTTTTTTTTTTTTTTTTTTTTTTTTTTTTTTTTTTTTTTTTGTGCGTGAGATGAGATGTGTGGGTTTAATTTTTAATATTTGGAAAGGATAATATTGTAATTTAATAATTTTATAATAGCTCCACTTGTTTTCTCTCCTGCCTTCCGCCCAAATTTGGGCGGATGAAAATTTGTAAAGAATGAGGGATAAGACATCTTTTTTATTATCCTTTCCCCCTCTGTGTCTCCTTACCGAAGGAAGGAATTTTGTTCATTCCCTCCTGTTTTCTTTCCATTCCTTTTTTTTTTCTACCGAAGAGATTATAAGTCTATAGTTTAAGAGATTTCCATGTAATCCTTTATGACTCAAAATTGATGTGGACTAATAAAATTCAACTTGATCTTAGACAAAAGGTCGATAAAGGTGTGATTAATATTTCTTTAGGTTTATTATTTTATAAGAGACTTCCGTATAATCCTTTATAACTCAAGACTGATGTGGGACAAAAAAATAAAATTCAACTTGATCTTTAGACAAAAAGTCGAGAAAAGTGTAAGAGGCTTTCATGTAATCCTTTATAACTTAAAACTGATGTGGTACAATAAAATTCAGCTTGATCATATTTCTTTAGGTTTATAGTTTTATAAGAGGCTTCCATGTAATCCTTTATAACTCAAAACCGATGTGGGACAATAAAATTCAACTTAATAATAGCCAAAAGGTTGAGAAAGGTGTGATTACTATTTCTTTAGGTCTATAGTTTTATAATAAGCTTCCATGTAATCTTTTATAACTCAAAACCTATATAGGACAAAGTAGCAAGCTACTCTAGTTGACTCGACCAAAAAAATATTAGTACTACACTTGATCTTAGCCAAAAGGACGAGAAATGTGTGATTTATATTTCTTTAGGTTTATAGTTTTATAAAAAGGTTTTTATGTAATCCTTTATAACTCAAAATTGATGTGGGACAAAGTAGCAAGCTACTCTAGTTGACCCGACCCAAAAAAAATTAGTACTACACTTGATCTTAGCCAAAAGGCCGAGAAAGATGTGATTAATATTTATTTAGGTTTATAGTTATATAAGAGACTTCTATACCGATGTGGGACAAAGTAATAAGCTACTCTAGTTGACCCGATCGAAAAAAATTTAATACTATACTTGATCTTAGCCAAAAGACCAAGAAAGGTGTGAGGTGTGATTAACATTTATTTAGTTATATAGTTTTAGAAGAGGCTTTATGTAATTCTTTATAATTGAAAACCGATGTGGGACAAGAAAATTGAATTTTATTAGGTAATTTGTAATTTGAATTAAATTCTTTAAATAAATTTTTATAAATTTTATTAAGTAATTTGTAATTTGAATTATAATTTTATTTTATTTATTTATTATTATTATTTTTCAATAAATACTGAAAGACTGAAACTTTTTACATATTTAATAATAGGTTAGATATAGATATAGATATTGGCTTAATTTTCATATCAACATGATAATATATACGTCTATATATATATAGATTTAGATAGCAATCGGGGTGGTGAAGCTATTTGTTGATGCAAATCAATATGGTCTTCATCTATCTTCATAAATCGATTTATGAAACCTTCAATCACATTAGACGAAATGAGAGAGGTGATATGAGTTGAAGGATGGACCGGATGGTGGGATCGGCAATGGGGTTGAAGGACGGTGGGAGTGTTCTTTTCTTCTAGCGGCTGTTGTTACTTGTTTGGTTAGGTTTTTTTTTAGTAACCCTTAATTGTTATAAAAGTGATCCAAGCTACAAATGAATCCAGCCGAGCTTTTGTTCTCTAAGTAATAAATCAAACCGCAGCCAATGCAACTAAACATATAAACTTTAAGCCTATAAACCTTCCTGAAGTCCGTTTGAGATTGTTTCTCAACTAGTTGAAAATGCTTTTATTATAAAAAATTGTGTTTGGTAACCATTAGAAGCACTTTAAATGATTATCAAATTTAGTTTAATAGATTTGGTAACCATTAGAGGCACTTGAAATGGTTACCAAATTTAATTCAATAAAGTGTTTGAATTGAAACTAGAATTTTAATTTATAAAACTGTATGTAGATCGAGGTTGAATATTTTAGGTAACTCTTTTTCAATAGACAATTTTGCCCACTTTATTTTTTATGTTACATCCCTTCCCCATAAAGTTGCTATTATTAAATATGGTAATCTCATATTTAAAGATATTATTATAAAATTAACAATAGAGGTGTTTTAAAAAATTGTTATCTAATAAATTAAAAAATAATTTAATAAAAAAAATATACTTATTATAATGTATCATTGATCGTCATTTTTTATTTATTTATTTTTATGACAACAGCATCCCCAATAAAGCTATTATTGTGATTGAGTAATATTTGTAATGATGTAATTCTTAGCCATGTGTTAGCATGTTTTTCAGATCACGGTAGAGAGAGTTGAAAAAGAGATGAGGTTAATAAAGAAATTTTAAGTTTAAGAAATAAGGTTATTAAAGAAATTTTAATTTTTAATTGAACTGAAAAAAAAAAAACGAGAAAGAGAGGAGAATGAATATAGCAACTACCAAAAAAAGAAAAAGAAATATAGGAAAATTTTGTCATCTAAAAATTATTTTTAGAATATTTAATAAACAAGTGTGTGTGTTTTTTTTTATTTATCAAATTGCACTTAAATGGTTATTTATTTGTAAATAAGTTTTAAAATTAGTCACTATTTTTTTTAAGGTCACTTTTTAACAATTTTATTTGAATTTTATAATTGAAACATTTATTTTAGAAAAGTTAAAAATAAAAATAATTTTTTTTTTTTTTTAGAACAAAAGGAGTATGTGCTAAATGTGAGTATTAATGTAAAAAAAAATTCCTATGGTGAATGTAAGTATTAATGTCACAAAATTTGAAGTGGAACTGAGGGGGGGTCTACCATAGGGCTACCGTACCGGCCCGTCAACATCCTATTGTCCTAATATTTTATTTTTTTAAGAAAGTGTGTGCATATATATATATATATATATATATATATATATATATTTTATGTCAAAAAAAGGACAATAATATTTTAATAATTACTACTACATTATTATAATTATAATTTTAATCAAGGTAAACCTCATTAATACATTATAATATTACTTCGTCCCACAAACACTAGCTGTCATTTACTGTTATATATGTTCTCGTAATTTTAGCTGTCTCTCTCACTCTACAATTTCAAAACACACCCTCCTCTTTCTCTTCACCTTCCCCACTACCATATTTGTATCATAATATCAAGTACTATATATAAACCTCCCCCACTCCCATATTTGTATCATAATCTCATCTATATATATATATATATTATAAATATATATATATATGCATACACAATGCACTATTCAACCCCTTCTCATCTCGTTTCTCAAATCTCTATAATCCAATAACACAGACCCCAAAACTAATATATACAAACACACAGAACTCATATATATGTATAGATAGAGAGAGAGAGAGGCAAACGTTCGCCTACTGATCATAACCATGGCGGGTCCAAACTCACCATATTACTCCGCCACCTTCAAACCCACCTCCACCAACCCTCTGTGGCAAAAATCCCGTATCTACCAATTGGCTATTGTCATTCTCCTCTTCTTTATCTTCTACTTCCTCGGAGTTTGGCAGCACAGCGGCGCCGCCTCCACCACAACCTACAACCTCGGCACCACAATTCCATGCATTCCCACCAAAAACGCCACCACCACTCACATATCAACCTCCACCGCCCCCTTAGATTTTTCCGCCCACCACTCGGCGGCTGACGGCGGCGACTCGCTACCGGATGGAACAGTCAAGACATACCCACCATGCAACTCCAAGTACAGGGAGTACACGCCGTGTGAGGACGCCATCAGATCGTTGAAGTTCGAGAGAGACAGGTTGATTTACAGAGAGAGACACTGTCCGGAGAAGAGGGAACTATTGAAGTGCCGTGTGCCCGCGCCGTACGGTTACAAAACCCCGTTCAAGTGGCCCATGAGCAGGGATCTGGCGTGGTACGCCAATGTGCCCCACAAGGAATTGACGGTGGAGAAAGCGGTTCAAAATTGGATCAGGTACGAGGGTAAACGGTTCAGATTCCCCGGTGGTGGGACCATGTTCCCCAACGGTGCCGATGCTTATATTGATGATATCGGCAAATTGATCAATCTCAAAGATGGGTCTATTCGGACCGCCATTGATACTGGTTGTGGGGTAAGCTTTATTATTTTTCCTTAATTACTACTTAATTTTAAATATAATTCATTCATGTCGGTTTAATTGGACCGGTCGATTATAAATACATTCGTTTTAGATTTGATTTGTTTATTTATAATTTTATATTATTTATGTAGTTTTCCTTTAGACAAGGGCGAGGAAAATTTCCATTTAATATACAGGCTATTGAATGGTCAGATACGTTTCATAATTAGTTATATAGAATATAGAGGATCAATGTCATTGTTAACTTTTTTAATTTTGAGAAATTAATGAAAGATTTCAACATTTTTTGAAAATAGATCTGTTAAATTCATAGTCGATAATTGTTGCTAATGCTGGGTTGTAATGCCCCCTAGATTTTCTCCTCTTAAATATTTTTTATAAAAACATGAAAAGTGTCCACTGAATTTTCTCATTCTTTATAAAATTCTATACATGTTTCATATTTTTTTTTTCCCTAAATTGTTTCACTGATAAATTAATTTAATTCTAAAAATATCACCACCTCTTTCTATATATATATATATACTCAGGCATGTACGTTATATCATAAATATATATATTATGATATATGAAAAAAATTTCTGCTGTATTTTTTTTGTGAACATAATGTATATATTAATTATGAATATGAATTATGAAAATAATAGGAAAATCTGTAAAAATAAATAAATGTAACTTCCCCTTCTGATCACAATCTTGATGAGTAGTGCAGGTTTAGAAAAAGGTTGACTGAATTAAGAATAAGATTTGGTGCTGTACTGGTGATTAGTGGATGGTCAGAAACAGGACATCCACTTTTTGATAGAACTTAATCCGTTGTCGTCTGGACACGTGGATGACATTCATAGGTCCATATTATATGGACCCCACATTTGATTTATATCTCATTTTTTATTTTTATTCTTCAAAATTTGTCTTCATGCATCCAAATGTAATACTGGGGAAAAAAGATCAAAAAGTTAGATGTTCAGCCTTTAAATATAACATTGACAGTGATTTTTGCAGCTTTAACTCTGAAAGTAAGATGTTGTCGAGGTCTTAAAAGTTAGATGTATGCAGTTTCGAATTAGTGACCATCAAGTTATATTTAACTAAATAAATAGACTTAGATATATCAAATAACTATATTTCTATTCAAATATCTTATTCTTTCTCTAATCTATCGAATCCGTGACCTCCAAGTACTTAATGTTGTTTTTAATAATTATAAGTTCTGGTTTGATATTGGATTCTCCAATCATCTCTCCTGGGTTTTTCATAAGCCATTGCCTTGTTCTTTAAACTATACTGCTGAAATTTTGCTTGAATTTTAAGTCTTCGAAATTATAATGATATAGGTTGCAAGTTGGGGAGCTTATTTGCTGTCGCGAAACATCTTGACAATGTCTTTTGCGCCAAGAGACACTCATGAAGGACAGGTGCAATTCGCTCTTGAGCGAGGAGTTCCTGCTTTGATCGGAGTTCTTGCCTCTAAGCGGCTTCCTTACCCATCAAGAGCTTTTGACATGGCTCATTGTTCTCGCTGCCTCATTCCCTGGGGTCAATATGGTAATCACCTACTTAAAATTGTTACAATCAAATCTTAACAAAATTTTAAAATTGTGTTTACAAGTCAATCTCAATTTTTGTTCACTTGTAATTTGTGTCATATGTTATGTATCATGGAATGGAACAGATGGTGTTTTGTTGATGGAAGTTGATCGAATTCTACGGCCTGGTGGGTATTGGATCCTCTCTGGTCCACCAATCCGTTGGAACAAGTACTGGAATGGATGGAACAGAACAAAGGATGATTTGAATGATGAACAGACTGTAATTGAGAATGTAGCTAAAAGCCTTTGCTGGAAAAAGAAGGTGGAGAAGGGTGATATTGCCATTTGGCAGAAACCAACCAATCATGTACACTGCAAAAGTCGCCGAACAATCGCCAAGAATCCTTCATTTTGCCCTGCCCAGGATCCTGATCAGGCCTGGTATCGATCTGCTTCTTATTCTTACACTTCATTCTACTTTGAATTTAAATAGGACTATGTATACAAGTGTGACCTAGTCTCTAGGCCTGAAGACCTTTCCAGGTCACAATAGAGCAACCTTACCGTGTTGTTTGTCTCTCTCTATATATATATATATGCTTGTTTATGGACCAAAGTCTAATTGAGCATGACCAATTTCAGGTATACAAAAATGGAGACTTGCTTGACTCCTTTGCCTGAAGTTTCTGACTATAAAGAAACTGCTGGTGGGGAATTGGAGAAATGGCCGAAGAGGTTGACTGCAGTACCACCAAGGATTATTAGAGGGACTGTGGAAGGAGTTACAGCCGAGGTTTTCCAACAAGATTCGATACTGTGGAAGAAGAGAGTGTCGTATTATAGAACTGTGAACAATCAACTGGACCAAGCAGGAAGGTATAGAAACGTTTTGGACATGAATGCATACTTAGGTGGATTCGCGGCTGCTCTGGTTAATGATCCGGTTTGGGTGATGAACATTGTTCCTGTTGAGGCGAAGGTCAACACTCTTGGTGCAATTTATGAACGCGGATTGATTGGAACTTATCAGAACTGGTAAACTACTACTAACCATTCGAGTGTTTCTCAGATACTATACTTTTTTTAGGCTTGTGGCTCATGTGTAATTGGTTTGATTTTTAGGTGTGAAGCAATGTCTACTTATCCAAGAACATATGATCTAGTTCATGCCAATTCTGTGTTCACCCTCTACAAGGACAGGTAATCAATTTGTGCATTAGGGCATGAAAATTGTAGTGATATATAACACACACATATGTTTGTGAAATTTATATGTGCATTTGTGTTACAGATGTGAAATGGAGGATATTATGCTAGAAATTGATAGGATTCTAAGGCCGGAAGGAAGTGTGATTTTCAGAGATGATGTGGATGAGTTGGTGAAGATCAAGAGGATTGCAGATGGAATGAATTGGGAGAGTCGGATCGTTGATCATGAAGATGGTCCTCTAGAGAGGGAGAAGCTTCTGTTTGCAGTGAAGTTGTATTGGACGGCTCCGGCTGCCTCTGATCAAGGATCCGAATCTTCTTAGAACTTTTATTTATTGACCCTCTTTTTTTCTATTTGTTTTGTTGTAATTTTCCTCTCTTTTTTCCATGTTAGATCTACTGATTCTTTTGTCATTTGTTTACAACCTAACTTGTGAAGCAAAAATGATTTTTCTGTGCATTTATATATTTAATGTTTCTAATATAGCAGGTGTATGTTCCATGTAGTCAAATCTTCAATTTCTGTGCATTTATATATTTTGTATATAAGCACGTGTGTGTGTGAGTGTTTCGTATTACCTATTTAACACAGCCATTATGTATCTAATTAATGTAAAATATATAGCCTTATCCTCAATTCTGGTGCTACAATTTGAGTTCTGTGCATGACTTTTCAATTGATCGACTGCTTAATTGCCTACAATTAAACCAATAAACCAATATTTAAAACAATTCGATCATCTAGCTTTTGACTTTATGGTGTTTTTGCTAGCTATTTAATCTTTGCTACTACTAAACTGTAGTGGCATTTTTATATTAGGATTTAGATCCTTTTAAGTTAAATATTGACAATTAAAATCTGTCTACTGCTTGTATTAAATCAAGTCAACTAATTTAAAAAAAAATTTTAAAAATGGCATCTTTTAACATAAAGAAAATTTTACCAATACCTCAATCTTTCAAAAAAACAGATCCCCCATCTCTTTCCTCTTTATTCCTATCTTAAACAAGTTGCAATGGTCTCTATTTTTCTTTTGACCCGACCTTCTCTCTCATCTTTTCTATATATAGGGCTTTTGATTATATTTTCCTAACTCCATCACTATCCATGCTTATATATATATGTATATATATATTCTTTTCCAACAATTACTATTGCATGCAATCACATTTTTGTCCATTTTAATTCCATGGTAAAGAACATTCATTTTTGGCGTGAAATATTCTCCCAATGGAATGAGCAAGAGGAGAGGGAAGCAGGATATATATATATTTTTTAATGAAAAATATGAGGGAGGTTAGAGTGGTGAATTTTTCATAATTCAAAAGGTAATTCAAAAGGTGGAGCTTTTAAATTTTGATAAATTTTTCTTATCTATTTTTAAATTTTTTTCACGTGATTTAATACCAGCAGTAGATAGATTTTAAATGCTACGTCAACCTCTAACGAATTCAACTTATTATAATTTAAAAAATATTTAACTTAGAGATTCTAAGTCCTTTATATTCACCGTCTAACATGGCATAAAGAAAGCTACTAGCTTCAAAGAGTTCAAAGAGGGGTGCTAGGGGGCTAGCAACTATACCAATATGAGTTTTTGTTTTTTGGCCCTTTCCTCATTTAATGTGTGTGTATAGATATATATACAGATGGCCTAATAAAAACAAACATATATTATGTGTGTGTTTATATTATCAAAAAAAAAAAAAAAAAAGAGAAAAAAGAAGAAAAGATTAATCCCAACAATACAAAGAGAAGGTGAAAAAGAATTGTTGACTACGAAGATGAGGACAACGAGACAAATATGACCTAATAAAAACTTCAAAGCCTATAATCATAAACTGTGTATTTATCTCTAAAAGTCTTCTTCTTTTTTCTTTTCTTTTTTTTGATAGCTTTAAAATTTTGCGTCTAAAATTCACTTAAAAATCTAAGTGAGTAATTTGTCAAAATTATGTATATTCTTATTCACCATTGTATACAAAATATTTAATATTTGATAAATAGGCATTTGTAAATAATAGGTGTTGGTGATTTCCCTTAGAGTGAGAGGAAGCCTATAAGAAGAGAGATGGATTGGAGTGAAAAATGAAACATATAAAAAAAGAAGGAAAAGAAAAGAGACCTATTACAATATTTGAGGGTTAATTTTGTAATTTAATTCATGAATAAACAAAAGTGGAGAGCCTGCATATAATTTTTAGAACGTGAATATAGGGTTGATTCGTTAATTTTATGTCTAGTCCCCACATCATTTTTATAAACTTACTTAATATAGGGTTGATTCGTTAATGAAACGACAAAAGAGAGAAAAAAAGAAATATGCTAATGTGATAATATAAAATACATAACACTTTTACACATCAGTGACGTGCCAGTGTATGTTAACATACATACAAAAGAGTATTTTAACAGACCGCTTGAAATGCTCTTAAAAAAAGAAAAGAAAATAATCCATTCCTAAAATATTTTCTTTTTATTTGGGCAATAAAAAAGAAAGAAAATAATATATTTCCGGAATGGTTTTTTTTTTTTTGGACAATCCAAAATGTTATTGATACACTTCCTCCATTCCAAATTAGTAGTTCATTTTTCTCTTTTACATATCCCAAATTAATTGTCCTCTTTGAAAAATCAAACCATCCTTTCATTATATTTTCATTATTGTTCTTTATCTTTGTTAAAAATTTCAAACTTTGTAACTATATATATTAAAATTAAAAAGGATAATTTGATAATTTTAAAAGGGGACAATGCATTAATTTCCTTAAAAATTTCAATTTCTAAATATGAACTTAGGAGATATTAATATATATAAATACATACGCACGCGGTGAACAAGGAGAGAGAAGAAAGTGAGACAAGAAAGATTTAAGGACACCTTTTGTCTTAAAAGTTTATATTTTATATTGCACTCCTCAGCTTCAAAATACCCAATTACACAATCTTTATTGATCTTTTACTCCTTTCTTTATTCACTTGAATCTCGATCCACAGTCACTTGTTAAAGTTGAAGGTTCACCAAGTGGGTAATTTTAATTCATGATGGACCACTGAATTGATAAGAAAAAGAAGGGGCAAGTGCTAGTTTGTAGTAATATCATTAATTAGTTTTAAAATATTGGCTTGTTAATAAAAAAATATTTACAGTCACCACTAAATAAATACAATCTCAGCTTTAAAAATTAACCCGGTCTGCTAGACATCAATTAGATTATTGTTCCTCCCAAAGAGTGTCAAAAATAAACAAACTCACCAACAAATACAATTTTATAATGCATAAATAAACAAATTATTCGAGATATGAAATAATACAGATCAAATGTTGTTTGTTCTAAATTCAGTTTTTTTTTAATAAATAAATAAAAAGTTTAATTGCTATTTGGGTGATGTATTGGGAAAGGAATTATGTTATGCATCCGAAATGTGTTGCAAAATACCTTTGCCATTTGGACCCAACACAAATGTAATGAGCTCTAATTTTTGATTAGGTGACTCATGCAAGAATCACCACTTAGATTAATCCAGGATCAATCACTAACTATATAAATGGTGGTAGAAACCTATCAAGCACACATAACTACAAACACAGCTGATAGAGATATATAGATTTATATATCACAACAAAATTTTAGTGATGGCGGGTTTGAAGTCAGTTGTTTCTCTGAGCTCCAGGGCCACATTGCTCTTCATCATGCTTGCTGTGCTAACCCGGGCGGTTCAGTCTCAGCCCCAGAACCAGGGTTGCTCTGCACAGCTAAGCAATCTCAACGTGTGCGCACCATTTGTGGTGCCCGGTGCCAACACCACACCTAGCCGAGAATGCTGTGGTGCCCTCCAAGCAGTTGACAATGACTGCATTTGCAGCACACTCAGGATTTCCGCTCGCCTCCCTTCTCAGTGCAACATCCCTGCTGCCACTTGCAATGGTTAATTTATTCTGTCCCTCACACACTCACGCACACACATGGTTACAACAACTGTTAATGAAACATTGTGCTAATTAGATAATTGTCATTTTTCTAGCTTATACGTATTAATATTCTAATTTTTTCTTTCTTTCTTTATGCAGCTAATTGAGGGAGGTGCGAGTAATCCACGAATAATATCTGAGTTTCCATGATTTTCTTTTGTTTTTGTTTCTGTACTCTTTTAGATGTATTCTGATCTGCTGGTGTAGGTCAGAGAAGAGCTAGCTTTCTGTCATGAAATAAAGAAATTATGTGTTTCTCCTTTTGAAGGGAACATAGCATGTGCAGCTTCTGAGTATTTAAAATTTTATTAATAAGGAAAACACAGCTAAACTAATAACTGCAAATTATATAATAAATTGATCCAAGTTTTTATTTATTTATTTATTTTTTTTATGCAAATAATACTACCCGTCAACATCACCATGATCCAATCAAGTTGTGCTATATATTCTTGTGGCTTTAATAATGAAAATGATACTATATAATTGAAAGGTGAATGCTAAGCCAAGTGATTCAATTTACCTTTAAAAAAAAAAAAAAAAAATTGTCACTTAGGCTCCGTTTGTTTGGACGAAAAACATTTTTCAGAAAATATTTTTTTATTTTTTGGTATTTGGTTGTAGTAAAATATTTACGAAGAAATAAAATATTAAAATTTAATAAAAATAACTTATCCATCAATTTTCGGCAAGTTATTTTACATGCCGTGCCCGATGAATTCGATCTCAACCTTGACGTACACCTTTACCAAATACGGACAAAGTAAAAATAAAAGAATATTTTACCTGAAATAGAAAAATATTTTTCAAAAACAATATTTTATATCAAAACAAACAGAGAACAGTTGTGAAATTATTGCTTTCATTCACTTATTATTCATACCAGTCTACGTTCACAATATGCATAGTTGCAAACACACATTCAGGCCGGCAGACACAATAACTGTAATTTGTAAACAAATAAAAAGTAATCAGTGATGTTCCTAGGACACACATAATATTGTCAGAGACATCACCATTTTTGAAATACTAGGAGCCAACAACAACAGGAGTATGAATTAATGGAGCCAGATAATGGTGAAATTCGTGGACAGATAATTAGTCCTCTTGGAATGGCTTGGCCTCAACCCAGTCTCCATCTTTATCAAGCACCATGCCTTTATTCTTTTCAACCCACCATGACTCTGGAACCTGATATTTATCCTTAAGAAAATTACTAGACTTGTTCACAAGAGCCAAACTCCTCTTCACCTTCAGCTCAAACTTCCCTCCTTTTCCATTCCAACCCGCAACTACATGTAACATACCTTGCAAATTATGCCAGTCCCATGGAGACAACGAAGCTTTCAAGAATGGCGAATCGTTACTATTAATCTGTAGCTCAATTCCTGCGTATGGTTCATACCCGGGCACTGTGACCGGGAAGTTTGGTACAAGGTCTAAAACATTCCTCACATGTAAGATTCGCAGGTTTTGCAGAGCCTTAAGCTTGTCACAGAACACTTTGTTGCCTAACTTTGGGCAACCGAACACGAAAGCCCCTACCCGGACATGATCTGCAACTACACCAGTTTCCACCACATTGAAAGCGCTTAGAGCAGCAAGTACCCCACCTAGGCTATGTCCCGTGAATATCAAGCTTACGTTTTCGTGCTTGTACACTTCCATCAATTTTGTGATGGCTGATAGAACTTGAGTCTGCGCGCTGGTTTTTGGAAATGGAGAGTCCGGGTTGCTGGAGGTGTAAATTGTGAGCCAACCCTCCATGACCTTGGCGGCATCTTCCTTATGACCACCATGATAATTGTCATTTCGTCGAGAGCCGGACATTAATGGTGTGGCAGGCACGAGCTTAGTGTGTAAATCTACTTCTAGTTCAATTGGTCGGACGGTTCCACGCCACGCCACATAAATGTCACGCCTGCCGTTGGCCTTGCTGACTTCGTCGGTGGTGACAGCAACGTATCCGATCCAATTGGACTGGCGTTGGAGTGGGACGGCGGGGCACCTCGGTCTGACAATGGCGTCGTCAAAGAAGTCATCATCAATGCTTGCAGTGGCATAGAGGAAGGAGATGAGTTGGTAATCTGATGCACAAGGTAGGAACACTTTGTGGAAGAATGACTTGCGGCCGTAGCGGCCGTAGCCACAGTATTTGGAATTTGGATCTCTGATGAAGGCATCATAAGTGGCTTGGCTCATGTCACCACAGCTCAGGATGAGTTTCCTGAGGCTGAGGTCAAGAGGGTCAATCAGACCTTTCCATTCATTGCTTCCTAGTAGTTCTGCCCATGTTGGCTGTGTTTGCTGATCAGGTGCCATGATATCAAGAATATCAGTAGAAATGTAGAATTTATGTGTTGAAGAAGAGGTGTTGGTTGGGAAGGGCATGCATTGCGGAGGTGACATGGTAGGGTATAAATAGACCGGTGAAATGGTTAAAGGTTAATTTAGGCACGTCAGGATTTTTTTGTGGCGTTATTGATGAGGTGGGTTATATCTATCACTACCAAGCATATATGTTACATACTGTATATTGGATGGTGATTGAATGAAGTGACTTGACTTTTGATTAGTCCTAGTCTTCCAACAACTATTAACTACATGTGGTAATCAACATCTTAAAAATAAAAATAATTAATCTTTTAATTATTTCATAATAAATAGTATTTTCATACTTCGAAGAGGGTTGCAAGAATATTGAGGGTTATGTGAATAAAGTCGTGAACCTTTTAACATTATTGTAGAATTATATTTTTACTTACGTAACTCTTATAAGACATCAGATTAAAGTTGTATTATTCTAAAAAATTATTTTATGTCAAAAAAATAAAATTATTGAAGAAATGACAACTTAGTCATTTTTTAAATTTTCATTAGCGGCAGTGAATGTCATTCAGCATATGCGCCAAATCTAAAGGAATGTTAAAATAATAAATGTCAAACGCTCTATCCGTGTGTAATTTGTCTAACTTAACAAAAGATCAGTATAATTTATTTTAAAAAATAATCTTAAAATTTTAAAACCCTAAATCATCAGTTTAATATTAAATTGAGCTCTAGAAGTTTTGAACCCTAAAAAGGTTTCTTCAGAATAATAATAAAGAATCCCCACACTAAAGTCAACCTAATTGTGAAATTTTGATTATTGGAACCACCTTCAACTCTTGATCTGCAAAAACTATTTTCTTACTATGTTTTTTTATCTTAAAGTTAGTAGCATAAAATATTTGGTCTATAATATTTAGTAAAGGATGCAGGCTATCTACATTAATGAAAATTTTAGGGAATTTACAACATTTTAAGCTTTGTGATTGCCACGAAAATCATAATGTTATATACCAGCAATTAACCAAAAAATTAAGTTGACAATACTACTTTTAATAAGTGAACATATAAAAGTGGCAAGCTAATATTATTTTTTTAATATCTATTAGATATGAAAATAAATAAATCATATTGAGACAGTTCACTACTTCACTTTGCTCCTGACTCTGCTCTATTAATCATATGTAATGTAGTATTAGTACGAGAATGTGGGGCCGAAATCTAACGGCTGTTAATGCCCATAGGCTATTTGATATACGAGTAATTAATTAATGTTACCTTTTCTTTAGCGCCGTATACATAATGACCAATGTTTTGTCTAACATTTTACTGGATGTGTCTTGGTCCCGCTTTAAAATTTTCTTACTTTTTCTAGTTTTGCCCAATTCTGGGGTAATATTTCATGCAAAAATTAACTTGAATTTATTTATATATATTTTAAAAAATTGATTGAATATTTTAAGAAGCACAAAGAGCTTTAATTGGCCATTCAAAAAAAAAAAAAAACTTTAATTAGATTCCACTTCTCTCCTTTAAGCCTCTCTTACCTTCTTGTTCATAAAAGAGCTTTAATTGGCAATTAAAAAAAAAAAAAAGCGCTTTAATTGGATTTCACTTCTCTTCTTTAAGTCTCTCTTACCTTCTTGTTCACAGTAATGTATCTCGAGCTCTTTCCTTCCCCTTCTATTTAAATGTACATCTATAGATTTTGTAAGTCTCCACATACACACATCATAATCATATCGTGCTCACGGAATTGTTTAAAAAAACCTAGCCCTGCTTTAATTAGCCATTCAAAAAAAAAAAAAAAAAAGACCGCTTTAATTAGATTTCCCTTCTCTCCTTTAAGCCAGCCTTACCTTCTTGTTCACAAAAGAGCTTTAATTGCCATTCAAAAAAAAAAAAAAAAAAAAAGCTTTAATTGAATTTCACTTCTCTCCTTTACGTCTCTCTTACCTTCTTGTTCATAGGTAATGTATCTCGAGCTCTCTCCTTCCCCTTCTATTTAAATGTACATCTATAGATTTAGTAAGTCTCCACATACACACATCATAATCATATCGTGCTCACGGAATTGTTTAAAAAAACCTAACCCTGCTTTAATTGGCCATTTAAAAAAAAAAAAAAAAAAAGTGCTTTAATTGGCCATTCAAAAAAAAAAAAAAAAAGCTTTAATTGGATTTCAGTTCTCTCCTTTAAGCCTCTCTTACCTTCTTGTTCACAAAAGAGCTTTAATTGGCCATTCAAAAAAACAAAAAATAAAAAAGAGCTTTAATTGGATTTCACTTCTCTCCTTTAAGCTTCTCTTACATTCTTGTTCACAGGTAATGCATCTCAAGCTCTCTCCTTCCCCTTCTATTTAAATGTACATCTATAGATTTTGTAAGTATGCACATACACACATCATAATCATATCGTACTTACGTAATTGTTTTAAAAAACTAGCCTTGCTTTATTTGGCCATTCAAAAAAAAAAAAAAAAAAAAGCCTTAGTTGCATTTCACTTCTCTCCTTTAAGCCTCTCTTATCTTCTTGTTCACAAAAGAGCTTTAATTGGCCATTAAAAAAAAAAAAAAAAGTGCTTTAATTGGATTCCACTTCTCTCCTTTAAGCCTCTCTTACCTCCTTGTTCACAGGTAATGTATCTCGAGCTCTCTCCTTCCCCTTCTATTTAAATGTACATCTATAGATTTTGTAAATATGCACATACACACATCATAATCATATCGTGCTTACGTAATTGTTTAAAAAAACTAGCCCTGCCTTAATCGGCCATTCAAAAATAAAAAAAGAGCTTTAATTGGCCATTCAAAAAAAGAAAAAAAGAAAAAGAAGAGCTTTAATTGAATTTCACTTCTCTCCTTTAAGCCTCTCTTACCTTCTTGTTAACAAAAGAGCTTTAATTGGCCATTAAAAAAAAAAAAAAAAAAAAAAAAAGAAGACCTTCAATTGGCCTTAAAAGAAAAAGAAAAAGAGCTTTAACTGGATTTCACTTCTCTCCTTTAAGCCCCTCTTACCTTCTTGTTCATAGGTAATGTATCTCGAGCTCTCTCCTTCCCCTTCTATTTAAATGTACATCTATAGATTTTGTAAGTCTCCACATACACACATCATAATCATATTGTGCTCACGGAATTGTTTAAAAAAACCTAACCTTGCTTTAACTGGCCACTAAAAAATAAAAAAAAAGAGCTTTAATTGGATTTCACTTCCCTCCTTTAAGCCTCTCTTACCTTCTTGTTCACAAAAGATCTTTAATTGGATTTCACTTCTCTCTTTTAAGCCTCTCTTACCTTTTTGTTCACAGGTAATATATCTCAAGCTCTCGATCTCCTTCCCCTAGCCTTCTATTTAAATATACGTCTATAGATTTTGTAAGTCTGCACATGCAGACATCATAATCATTTCGTGCTCACATAATTGTTTTAAAAAACTAGTCTTGCTTTAATTGGCCATTCAAAAAAAAAAAAAAAGAGCTTTAATTGGCCCTTCAAAAAGAAAAAGAAAAAGAGAGCATTAGTTGCATTTCACTTCTCTCCTTTAAGCCTCTCTTACCTTATTGTTCACAAAAGAGCTTTAATTGGCCATTCAAAAAAAAAAAAGAAAAAGAAAAAAAAAAGCTTTAATTGGATTTCACCTCTCTCCTTTCAGCCTATCTTACCTTCTTGTTCACAGGTAATGTATCTCGAGCTCTCTCCTTCCCCTTCTATTTAAATGTACATCTATAGATTTTGCAAGTCTGCACATACACACATCATAATCATATCGTGCTCACGTAATTGTTTAAGAAAACTAGCCCTGCTTTAGTCGGCCATTCAAGAAAAAAAAAAAAAAAAAGCGCTTTAATTGGCCATTCAAAAAATAAAAATAAAAAGCACTTTAATTGAGTTTCAATTCTCTCCTTTAAGCCTCTCTTACCTTCTTGTTCACAAAAGAGCTTTAACTGGCCATTGAAAAAAAAAAAAAGGAGCTTTAATTGGCTTTCATTTCTCTCCTTTAAGCCTCTCTTACCTTCTTGTTCACAAAAGAGCTTTAATTGGCCATTCAAAAAAAAAAAAAATGAGCTTTAATTAGATTTCACTTCTCTCCTATAGTCCTCTCTTACCTTCTTGTTCACTGGTAATGTATCTTGAGCTCTCTCCTTCCCCTTCTATTTAAATGTACATCTATAGATTTTGTAAGTCTGCACATACACACATCATAATCATATTATACTCACGGAATTGTTTAAGAAAACCTAACCCTACTTTAATTGGCCATTAAAAAAAAAAAAGAGCTTTAATTGGATTTCACTTCTCTCCTTTAAGCTTCTCTTACATTCTTGCTCACAAAACAGCTTTAATTGGCCATTCAAAAAAAAAAAGAAAAAAAGAAAAAAAAGAGCTTTAATTGGATTTCACTTCTCTCCTTTAAGCCTTTTTTACCTTCTTGTTCACATGTAATGTATATAAAACTCTCTCCTTCCACTTCTATTTAAATGTACATCCATAGCTTTTGTAAGTATGCACAGACACACATCATAATCATATCGTGCTCACGTAAACTAGCCCTGCTTTATTTGGCCATTAAAAAAAAAAAAAAAGAACTTTAGTTGCATTTCACTTATCTCCTTTAAGCATCTCTTACCTTCTTGTTTACAAAAGTGCTTTAATTGGCCATTCAACAAGAAAAAAAAAAAAAAAGAACTTTAATTGGATTTCACTTCTCTCCTTTAAGCCACTCTTACCTCCTTGTTCACAGGTAATGTATCTCGAGTTCTCTCCTTCCCATTCTATTTAAATGTACATCTATAGATTTTGTAAGTCTGCACATACACACATCATAATCATATCGTGCTCACGTAATTGTTTTATAAAACTTGCCTTGTTTTATTTGGCCATTCAAAAAAAAAAAAAAAAAAAAAGAGCTTTAGTTGCATTTCACTTCTCCTTTAAGCCTCTCTTACCTTCTTGTCCACAAAAGAGCTTTAATTGGCCATTCAAGAAAAAAAAAGAAAAAAATGTGCTATAATTGGATTTCACTTCTCTCCTTTAACCCTCTCTTACCTCCTTATTCACAGGTAATGTATCTTTTTCTCTCTC